TTTCTTAAGCAGCAAATCAGCATATTAGAATGATTTCTGAAGATCATGTGACACTGAAGACTGGAGTAATGATGCTGAAAATACAGCTTTGATCATAGCAATCAATTATATTTTACTATATATTCGCATAGAAGACAGCTATTTTAAATTGTAACATTATATATTTCACAGTACTGTTTACTGTATTTTTCATCATCAAAATAATTTGTATACTCTTTTCCACAATTGGAGCTCTATTCCTTAAGAAGATAGATGTCAAAAGGACAAATACTGTATATGATGACCAATAGAAAGGCAGCATAAAAACAGTCCGCATTCTGCACTATTCAAGTCTTCTAGACGATACCAGAGCATTGTGTCATATGGACTGATAATATAGGTATTTAACTTTATTGATATTAAACTGTCCCTCGTAAAAATTCTTAAAAATTATTTACTATTTGCCATATACACCAGGAAAGACAAATTATAATGCAAAAAGAATGCCAGTCATTTATGGTGTGGTGCGGTGTGTTGCGGACCGTGTTTGGTGAGCCGCTCTGTGCCAAAAAAGTCCAGGGCCACTTTTTGGCCCCAGTCCACCCCTGATTCCATTCCATAATTCATACTGTTTCACATACAATAAAAAAATGGCAGCGGCTATTTACACTAAGTGCAAATAGCATTGAATTCTATTTACACTAAGTGAAAATAGCAGTATGTTCTGCCATTTATACTACTTATTGCAAATAGTAGCAATTATCTGCACCTCAGTATTGTAGTGCATTATAAAATAGTATGCAATAATAACGTATTGAGTGTAAATAATTATTTGAATTCAAATTATTAAATGGATGCCACCTTACTGGGATAAGATAAGCCCTCCTTACACCTACCCTAACCCTACCCGATACTTTATTTTCAACTTTTCGATTATTTCCTTCATTTTTATTGAAAATAAATGCCTTTCCGATGTGGTATGAGGTTTGAAATAGGGAGAAAAAAATAGGTTGGCAAAAGGTGGATTCGAACTCGGGTCGAAAATGACTTTGGCACATGCTTTTCCAATCTACGCCACTGGAGCTGATTTTATACAATCGTCTTTTGTAGTTTTGAGTAGCCCAACCATTGGTTGACCACCGTTGGTGGGCGGAGTTTGTGTAAATAGCTTCTGCCAACAAGGTGGGCTATTTGCATTTAGTGTAAATAGACACTCCGCGAGAAAAAAATACAATTGGTATTAAACAGTAACACTACCACACTGTATGTAGTATACAGTAATATAATACTCCATTCCAACCTAGCTTGCACTTACCTTGGTATTCATGTGTGTGACTATTAAAATTTCTTCTGCTCTCCAGCTGCTAATACTAACTGCATTATAAATTCTGCCTCTAATCTTCTCTGTGTTCACTTCAGTGCAGTCTCACAGAGTGTGTGTTGCACAGAATTACACTCCCCTCTGCTAAATGCTTAAAGTAAAGGTTCCAACGTTTCTGAACGTATTTACATGTCTCATCTGGCAAAGCTCGTTTTAAAAATGCTAAACAAATACAAAGAGGGGAATTAGCACAGTCAGATCCTTACCTCCTGATAATATCCAAATAAAATATTAGCCAGTGTCTCACTTTAAGTTTTCATCTAATGGCCTTCTCTGTGTCCACACTACAGGTGGAACCGCTGCGCCAGAGACGACCACAGAGACGAGCACCGTTCCAGGTGAGAAAGGTACTTACCTCTAATTCTGTCTGTAATTTCTTTCATTATCCAGGATTGTGCTAATGCATACTCCCTTAAAGGTGCGGCGTGTCATGTTTGCAGTGTTAGCATACTTTCTCCTATCCCAGTTCAATGTGCACAGACAACTCTAAGTAAGCCAATTGTAGCTCATTTCCCCGAATAATGGGCACATTTAAAATATTTGTTTATGAGTTTCATGCAGGATTACCTGTTTTTCTGAACAAGAGAAACAAAATGATGCACTCTATTTGATGAGGGCCAGTAAGCAATTTTCTTCAGAAAACATTTTTGCAGTTACATTTGGTGCCGCTAGCAGCACAGAAGTTACGCACTGCACCTTTAAGAAAGATCATTCTTATTGTATGTTTTCTTAGTTCTCTGTTTGGTTGTTGAGGCCATTTGATTATAAGTGTGTAAACTCAAAGATGAGTATGTAATCTCGTTTCTGAAGTGTTCTTGTGAAAATCTATAAAGAGCCCCTCTGATTTGCTAATTCAGCGTAATGACTGATTAGCCATTCAAGACTGCTCACTAATGGGCAAATGAGAAATGCCCCTTAACTGACCTTGTCTAATTAGCCAGTGTGTGTGTGTGTGTGTGTGTGTGTGTGTGTGTGTGTGTGTCTGTGTGTTTGGCACTGTCTGAGCCTCATCACAACAGCAAAACAACTGAATAGATTGAAGGTCCTAATAAGCATGTGTCCTTGTGTGAGTGGTCTTGGTTGGTTAACATTGAGTAGATGTGTGCGCTTTCTATTATTGGATGTGGTTTATTTGCTATGACAAGCATTCAAAACTGGTAGAATGTTCTGGACTGCGGTGAAACGTATCCTTGCACTGTCATACACTGCAACAGCCCCAATCCATTTAAAGATGGTAAAGAAGAAATAACTTTTAAATGGAAACTGGCATTTTTTTGTAGCGGCAGTGGCTGCATGCCTGAGCTGTGGCTTTTAATGGGAAATTCTTTCCTTCGCATTCAGTGAGCAAATACCCTGTGAAACTCGTGGAGAATCCTGGCATTATTAAGGGAGCGGAGCGCTTGGCTTTATTAAACTGTCTAGAAAAGCAGCGCTGAGGTTGTGCAGGCATAGCTGACATCCTAGACATGCTTCTGCTTTTCTGTCCGTCTCAATTCTCTCTGCTCTTCATGCTGTCTCTCTCTGTGGCTTTCTATCTCTCACTCAATCTAGCATCGTTAAATCCCTCCCTCCTTCTTTCATGTCAATCTCAGTTTCAAAGCTTCATTGTTCCGTGTGCTCTGTATTCTCGCTCAAGATCTAGCTATATTTGGTGTATAGATGTGGATTTGGCTTAGGCACGACTGAATTTGGAATGGATTTGGAAATGCTCATGCTTAAATGATGGTGTTTTCTGCTTGTAAAATAACTCTTTGTTGCCATCAAGTGGACAGTAGATATAAAGCATGTAGTTTGGAGATTTGTGTAGTCCAATCAATCACACAGTAGCTTCAAAACATTCAATTGTTATACACTACTGATAAACAAATGTAATACCTTTATTCAGCAAGGTTTCATTAAATTAATCAAAAGTGACAATAAAGGCATTTATAATGTTACAAAAGATTCTGTTTCACTCTCAGAAAAAAGGTACAAAAGCTGTCACTTACAAAAGGTACTAAAATGTACTCTTTAGATATGAATATGAACATTTAAGGTAATAATATGCATCTTTCAGGAGTAAATAAGGTACAAAAAGTACATTTTGAAAAGATACCATCCCAGTGACAGCTTTTGTACCTTTTTTTCTGAGAGTGTTCAAATAAATGCTGTTCTTTTGGGCTTTCTATTCGTTAAATACTGAAAAGTATATTTATAATGGTTTCCACAAAAATATTGTGCAGCACAACTGTGTTCAACATTGATAATAATCAGCATATTAGAATGATTTCTGAAGATCATGTGACACTGAAGACTGTAATCAGTAATGATGCTGGAAATACAGCTTTGATCGCAGAAATAAATTAGTTTAACATATTCACATAGAAAATAGTTATTTTTAAAATGTAATAACATTTCACTGTTTTTACTGTATTTTTAATCAAATAAATGCAGCTTTGGTGAGAAAAAGAGACTACTTTCAAATACATTAAAACATCTTTGCAAGCCCAAACCTTTGAATGGTGGTGTACATAATTTTTTCATCATGTTTACTCATATATTATATTTATTGTACTATATTAAAATGCATTAATGTAAATAATATCATAGTATTATTATTAAATATAAAAGGTAACCATTCCAAAATATAAATAATATTGTGTGTGTGTGTGTGTGTGTGTGTGTGTCACTGCTTTAGTAATATGAAATCAAATAGTGTATATGTTAATAATCTTCCCCTGTGTGTTTGTGTGTGTTCTCTCTGTAGCGTTCCTGTGGTTTGCCTGTGACTTTGGCTGGGCCAGTGATCCTTCATTCTGTGGCTGGATGTCAGAGGACAGCGGTTTCAGGTGGCAGATCCAGTCCAGCGGCACCCCGACTCTAAACACCGGCCCAAACATGGACCACACTGGTAAGAATAAAACTGCACCCATTGGCTTCACAGCACGGAAAGTGTGAAACATCCAAACTCGTGGAGAATCCTGGCATTATTAAGGGAGCGGAGCGCTTGGCTTTATTAAACTGTCTAGAAAAGCAGCGCTGAGGTTGTGCAGGCATAGCTGACATCCTAGACATGCTTCTGCTTTTCTGTCCGTCTCAATTCTCTCTGCTCTTCATGCTGTCTCTCTCTGTGGCTTTCTATCTCTCACTCAATCTAGCATCGTTAAATCCCTCCCTCCTTCTTTCATGTCAATCTCAGTTTCAAAGCTTCATTGTTCCGTGTGCTCTGTATTCTCGCTCAAGATCTAGCTATATTTGGTGTATAGATGTGGATTTGGCTTAGGCACGACTGAATTTGGAATGGATTTGGAAATGCTCATGCTTAAATGATGGTGTTTTCTGCTTGTAAAATAACTCTTTGTTGCCATCAAGTGGACAGTAGATATAAAGCATGTAGTTTGGAGATTTGTGTAGTCCAATCAATCACACAGTAGCTTCAAAACATTCAATTGTTATACACTACTGATAAACAAATGTAATACCTTTATTCAGCAAGGTTTCATTAAATTAATCAAAAGTGACAATAAAGGCATTTATAATGTTACAAAAGATTCTGTTTCACTCTCAGAAAAAAGGTACAAAAGCTGTCACTTACAAAAGGTACTAAAATGTACTCTTTAGATATGAATATGAACATTTAAGGTAATAATATGCATCTTTCAGGAGTAAATAAGGTACAAAAAGTACATTTTGAAAAGATACCATCCCAGTGACAGCTTTTGTACCTTTTTTTCTGAGAGTGTTCAAATAAATGCTGTTCTTTTGGGCTTTCTATTCGTTAAATACTGAAAAGTATATTTATAATGGTTTCCACAAAAATATTGTGCAGCACAACTGTGTTCAACATTGATAATAATCAGCATATTAGAATGATTTCTGAAGATCATGTGACACTGAAGACTGTAATCAGTAATGATGCTGGAAATACAGCTTTGATCGCAGAAATAAATTAGTTTAACATATTCACATAGAAAATAGTTATTTTTAAAATGTAATAACATTTCACTGTTTTTACTGTATTTTTAATCAAATAAATGCAGCTTTGGTGAGAAAAAGAGACTACTTTCAAATACATTAAAACATCTTTGCAAGCCCAAACCTTTGAATGGTGGTGTACATAATTTTTTCATCATGTTTACTCATATATTATATTTATTGTACTATATTAAAATGCATTAATGTAAATAATATCATAGTATTATTATTAAATATAAAAGGTAACCATTCCAAAATATAAATAATATTGTGTGTGTGTGTGTGTGTGTGTGTGTGTCACTGCTTTAGTAATATGAAATCAAATAGTGTATATGTTAATAATCTTCCCCTGTGTGTTTGTGTGTGTTCTCTCTGTAGCGTTCCTGTGGTTTGCCTGTGACTTTGGCTGGGCCAGTGATCCTTCATTCTGTGGCTGGATGTCAGAGGACAGCGGTTTCAGGTGGCAGATCCAGTCCAGCGGCACCCCGACTCTAAACACCGGCCCAAACATGGACCACACTGGTAAGAATAAAACTGCACCGAATTAAGTCTTTAACGATGCATATTACTAATCATGAATGAAGTTTTTATATATTCACGGTAGGAAATTTACCAAATATCATGGAACATGATCTTTACTTAATATCCTAATGATTTTTGGCATAAAAGAAAAATCGATAATTTTGACATATAAAAGGTAACCATTCCAAAATATAAATAATATTGTGTGTGTGTGTGTGTGTGTGTGTGTGTCACTGCTTTAGTAATATGAAATCAAATAGTGTATATGTTAATAATCTTCCCCTGTGTGTTTGTGTGTGTTCTCTCTGTAGCGTTCCTGTGGTTTGCCTGTGACTTTGGCTGGGCCAGTGATCCTTCATTCTGTGGCTGGATGTCAGAGGACAGCGGTTTCAGGTGGCAGATCCAGTCCAGCGGCACCCCGACTCTAAACACCGGCCCAAACATGGACCACACTGGTAAGAATAAAACTGCACCCATTGGCTTCACAGCACGGAAAGTGTGAAACATCCGAACCTCACATGGTTTCTCTCCGTCTGCTGTAGGCGGATCAGGGAACTTCATCTACACACTGGCAACAGGTGCTCAGGAGCGTTGGCTATTGCTACCAATATGACTAATTGTGTGGTCCAGGGTCACATATAGTTCAAATTTAATGTTGGTGTTTGTCTTTATTTCAGGTGGTAATTGAAAGCGTAGTGGAGAGGAAGAGTTGGGGAGACATTGCTGTGGATGACATCAAAATCTTAGACAATCTGAACATGGCTGACTGCAAGGGTGAGTCAGTTAACACATTATAGTGCAAAATACACTGAGATGAATTAAGACTGTGTCATACATCCTATGGTTTTGGATATTTCTGCTACTACTGCTGTAATGACAAAGCTGCTCATTTTCGAACATTTTTTATGTACAGACACTGGGAGTCAGGTTAGATGCCATATTGAATTGAATGTGAATGAAAATGAGGCTGTGAAGGACAAACGCACAGTTTTGCACACTGTATATATGTCCTAGATCATGTCATTTTCACAACTCCTAACTTTCAACAGTTTTATAGACTTATGTTATTTTATTTTATTTTTTCAACCACTCACAGCCTTGTTTTCATTCCTGTCAAATATTAAATATGGTGCTACGCTGACTAAGATCTATGTATTAAAATATTTAAATAACATATTTATCAATCATTAAAATAATGACATTTA